ATAATATAATATAATATAGTTTATGTAGTATATAAATATATATACAAGTCATATACTTAATATTTTATACATATGTATCCAAATATAAATGTATACATATTTATATTTCACCCATTATATATATCACATTATTTTATCCAGAGTAAATAGGCTACAAACATGCTCCACATATACATCAGCCAAAAGATTCTAGTATCTTTTATAAGTACCTCTTAATCAGAATGAAATTTGATTTTAATAAGAATGTTACACACCAACTATTGATGGTTAAATATAATATAAGAATCGTTTTAACAAATTTGCAGGTACTGATATAGTAATGAATGTTAATAGATAAAATGTAATAAAAATTATATGTTAATTTTTTTAAACCCAAATGTATATATAATTGTCAACAAAATATATATGTTAAAACGATTCTCTAATATTACTAGAAAATAACAGGAAAAAATTATAATATCATTAAAATTAAAAAGAACAAGTCACAACTCAATGGGTACATCCCCATAACTAACCTCCTGTAGTAAATCCTGAGCTGCGATGGCTTTTAGGACATTTTTTTTGCTAGTCTCTTGAATTTCACCACCAACCAATAATTCATCTAAGATGAAGTATGCTTTCTCAAAGTTGAAAATTATATCTAACTCACAAACCTATTAACATATTTATATTAATATTAAAAATATTAATTAACTAAAATAAAATAAAAACATTAATATTATTTTATTTACAAAGTTCTATATTAAAAATTAAAAATGCAATGTAATTTTTAAACTCATATTTTCATAGATTACATTTATTATATATATAATAAATCTAATTATTATAAAATATTATATAATAAATCTAATAAAAATATACGATAAATTTTAAAGAAATATATATTCTAATAATAAATAAATAACTAAATTCAGTACTTACACTTCCAAAATATTTATCTAATAATTCAACATAACGATGTATAATTTCTAATGTCAATAGTTCATTATCATTTTGTTCTATTGCACAACAGAAATATAAACTGGCATATCTGAGGAACAAAATGATTTATTATTTAAAATAATATATCATTCAAATAATATATATAGTATTTGTCCTATTCTAATAGAAATTTTATATAATTAGCAGTATAATATACCTTTTATAGACAACCTTAACATCTTTCCATTCTAAAAAACTTGACATTTTTGGTTTTCGTGCCAATATTGTTGTAATTAATTCTCGTGTAATTTTTTTCTTTAATTTATCAGGATGAGCCACATACCATTTTTGTAAACGTAATTTTCCTTGACGGCTGAATAATAGCATAAATTGCATCTAAAAAGATGGAATATTTTTATACAAGTAAATTTAACATTATTTAAAATGCTACTAATAATATGTATATATTATTTAATTTTGACAATAAAATTAATAATAGCTTTCTACCATCTTTAAACGAATTTTTTTCTATAAAAGGATTATAAAATTAATCACAGCACTTTTCGATAAATCACAATAAAAAAAAGTCTATTCCAATTTTAATATGAGTAATTCTGTTCACATTTAATCACACATTTTTAAGAGATGGCGCAAGTATCAATGAAAGAAATTATATCTTGAATTCTTAAATTGAATAACTTTAATTTATTTAAAAAAATGTCATATTAGATAATATTACAAGAAAAAACAATTATATAATATAAAGTGTATTAAAAAATATTAAAATACATATAATTTTATTATGTACACAAAAATATAATATTACAGAGTTATATAGGGAGTAAAGAATAAATCTACCATCAGAGATTACGTGTAGGTTTATCTTTACCTCATCCATATTATTAAATCTTTGATTTTATGATTTCATATTCTATATTTCATGTTGTGATTTGAGTATAAACAAGAAAAAAAGCATAAAAACATGACACAATATTTTTCGTATTATGGAATTTAAAAATCATATGAAATAGAGTCATCTTTCTTTATCTCCGTCTCATTTCAATTAATGTAAACTTAAATCGAACATAATTTAATAAAATAATTCAATTGATATTTTTGTATATAATTTTTTCTCTTTAAAATTGATTTTTTAAAAGAGTTTTACTTGTCTTGATGATAACCCTGATTATAATAATTTTTTTCTATCTCTGTTCTCCCATTATTTGTTCCTCTTGGTGCGTTATCATAAATAATAAGATATAGAATAAATAAGATATAGGATATTAATTGAACACATTTTATCATTTTTTTTTTTAATTGTATGATATATTTAATATTTAATGTAAAAATAAATTATATTCTATTATTAAATATAAAGCAAAAATTTACTATTAATATACTATAATACATAATAAATACATAATAATTACATATACTATAATAATTACATAATAAATTAATGAAATGAACATTTAATATATATTTTTAATATTTTTAAAGAAATACATTATAAATTATGAATTTTTATATTGTGAGTATTAATGAAATAAAAAAATAAAATACAATGAAATAAAAATAAGATATTAAATAATAAATAAAAAGAATACGAATTATATAATAAGCATAATTACATCTTAAAAATTTTTTATTTATCAAGTAATACATAATATGAAATCATATTTGATGATTATTATGTCTTTTTAAATTTTTTCCATAACTGATGTTTTAAATAAGATATACGTCTTTCAAGTTTATCTTCTATACCAAAATATTGGTAAGATATATGCAATACTTCATATTTTTTACATTTTAATAAATGAGAATGTAATTTAATTAAACCATGATGAGTTAAATCTCCCAAACACATATCATAATAATCAAGTAATATTAAAGCTATTCTGAAAATTAATTATATATATTAGTTATTATTATATTATACTAAAATTTACATTCATCCAATTTTAAATTATTCTTTTCTTACTTAATGAAATTTTTATCTTGATTAACATCGTCTATAGGAATAAAATTAAAGTTTAAATCTATACATAATTCAGCATCTGTAATATTATATTATTTAAATATAATATATTATTTTTTAATGAATATAAATTACTAAATATTTTTATAAATACCTAAAAGAAATCCCATTTTGGTATTTATATTCATTTTATAATAAGATGCAGATGGTAACATATTTTTTAATGTTATTTCAAGTGCATCAACATATAGTTTCTTTTGTTTTGAACGAATATTTACTATATCTGGTACAATTTGTTTATTAAGAAAGGGTCCTAAAACATATTTATTGAAATTTAATATCTTTTTATCATCTTCAAATAATATATACTTTTTACTTACCAAAATAATCTTTGAGTGCATATTGTGCATATCCATTAATATTTAATAACTTTAATTGATGAGTTAATTTCTGTTTCTCATCTATAATAAATATTAACAACAATCAAATACAATCATAATATATGCAATTATAATGTATAATAATCATTCTAGTTATAAATATTAAAATTATAATATATACTAACCAATTAACATTAGTTTTGAAACAAATTCTTCATCTAATACATATGTAGCATGTATATTTTGCAATATTTTGAATACAGCAAAGGACCATATAAGATTTAATTTTGTAGAATATTCAAGTTTTTCATATTCGATATTTGATACATATATCTATATAAATATAATAATATTATATTATATAATATAATAATATTATATTTCAATATATAATTTTTAATTTTAATGTCAATATATTTATAAAATATTTAAATATAAAAAGCATAAAAAGTTAAATATTTAAATGATAATTAATTTAAAGATGCAATACAAAAAATTAAATAATTATAATTATCTTAGGATTTCTTATATTACGTACCTTTATTAATTTATTTACATAATCAGAATAATAACCTAATATTGCAAATGAATGTAAAATGTTTGTAATTTCTTTGATTGTATAATTAATTTTAGAATTAATAATATCTTCACATATATGATTTAAAAATTTATCGTTTTTATACCTGACTTGTGCCATAGATTTTAGTATAGAAATTGTTGTTATATTTTTTATTTTTGCAATTTTTTTATTCTGTATGAAATCCTTACAAATTTTTTTAAGTAATCTCTATAATAAATTTTAATTTACATTTCTATTTATTAATCATTAATTTTTCATGCAGAATTAAATATATATAATTTTCTTTTATTATCTTACCTCATCTGAATAAGATAATTTACACATACTAAACATTAAATTTGAACATGCTCCTGCGCTTAATACATTATGATATTCAATAATATTTTGAAAGAAAAAATTTAAAAGCTTTATATTTCTATTGCCCTCATATGCTAATTTGTTTATTTCCTGTATCAAATCATAAATAAATATATTTAAATTATATATTTAATATTATAATATATAATATTATATGTTAAATATGTAAAAATTAAATTATATCATTTCAGGTTTTTACCTTAATCATTTCAGATGTTGATAAGTCATTGTAAACAGATATATCATTAATGTCCAAATTTTTTTTTTCATTATTTTTTTTTTGTGTTTGTTCTGAACTTTGTTTATTTGTGAAATTTAAATCATTTTTATTATTTTCAGTTATCCACGTTGTAATAATTTTAAGAGCATTCAAAATATCATCTTGAGACAAAGATATTTTCATAATTTCAAATAGTTCATTTATACTTTGTGCTTGTTCAATCTTAGTAATAATTACAGATTTTATATTTAAATCTTTGCACAATTTTATTTTTAATTCATTAAATTCCATACATTGTGTATTATTCATCATTGTAACATGTGATTTTATCTCTTTTATTTGATCATTAAGCTTTAATAAATTAACTTTTATTAATAATAATAATTAATAATAAAATATTTAATGATTGAAATATTTTTAAAAAATCTATTACATAAAATAAATTTATAATCATATTTTTATTAAATTTTATTTAAAAATATAAAATTTTACCTTAATGTTAACTTTAGATTCAGAAGCTACTGTAGCTGCATTTGTAGTCAATGTTGCATTTAATCGCCATAAAAGTCGAGAAGTAAGTCTAGTTGCAATATTATAAACTGTTCCATTAAATTGCAACATTTTTATGAACTGTAATATTAATTTATATAAGAAGAATAAAAACAATACAATATAGATATTGTGAATCGTCACATACATACATACTGATTTTGCGAAAGATTTTTATTAAGAACGTCAAATAAGTTTTGACTTACATTATTTACAAAAGAGTAATTTTAAAAAATTACAAAAATTATTTTATTTTTTATAAATTGTAGAAATCACTAAATTTTTCATTATAAGGTTAAGATCTAGTTCACTATAACCTTAATCATAGATAAAAAAACTTCGTTCTAGTATCAACTTTCATTTTATATTCAAGGACGTAGAAATATAATTCATTTTATAATTTAATATATACTATTGCTATATGCTATTATTAAATTTTTCTCACCTCAAAATACAATTAAAAAATCTATTTTGTAAATTTATATATATATTTCTTTTATTAGTTAATTAGATAAATGCGTAATGAATATATTTTTTAAATTAATAAACTAATTTGAAATAATAGTTTTTATTCTCAATTCCATACATTTTATTTAAAAAAAAAGTATAATATATGATTAAAAAATAAAATTAATATTATAATATTAATTAGGTTTTTGTTTTTTTTTGATGATGAAAGCAGTGTTGTGTTGTATATATATATTAGTTATATACATTATTATATATAATTATTATTGTACAATAATTATTAAAAAATCCATATTTTTTTTTTTTAAATTTATATCCAGATAATATTTTATCTAGATAAAATGACTACATTGTTTTATTATTGAAAAGAAATAATCTAACCTATTTCAACTGATATATATGTCATAAAATAATAAATATATGTATGTATATAAATGTTATTTTTATAATCTACAATCTACATTAATAAAATATTATTTTTTATAAGTTTTGAATATTTAATTATCTTTTAAATATTATCATTTATATTCATATATTTTTTTAAATATAAGTGTTTTTAATATTTATTTGTTCTAAATTTCATTATTCATTATAATTCTATTTTGATTAGATTAATTTTAATAAATTTTATAAGATTAATGTATATTATACACTAAAATATTTTTTATTTAATTATATTTATTAATACATTTTTCTTTTTTATTAAATATATAAAATAAAAATATACTAGTATTATAAAAATAAGAATATATTTAATTTAAGTATATATTTAATTTAAGAAAAATAATAAAAAAGAAATAAAAAAATAATTTGAAAAAAAGAAATATGCATGTCTGTTATGAAAATATATGTAATAACAACAAAATAACTTAAATAAAAAAAATATCTGTTTTTATCTATTAAATTCTAATAGATTTTCTATTAATATTTCATAAGAAATTGAAAAATTAGTATAAATAAGAATATATATGTGGATATTTACTTATTTATTTATTATGAAAAAAATATTTCCAAATATATGTGTAATAGTTATGTGATATAATAATATATAATAATATTATTAATATTATTAATATATAATAATAAACATTTTTTTCATGATTTAGAAATATAATAAGATATAATATATAATTTTATTAAATACTTTTTTCATTTTAATATTGCAAATATTTTATATTATTACATTCATTTTATATTACATTTAATATTTCGATAAAAGAATACATAATATCAATGTAATTTTAGAAATTACTGAATATAATTTATTAACAAAATATTCGTAATGTTTTTTTAAAAAAATAAAATCAAATTTTAAAAATAATTGATAATTAGATTGAAATGATCATTAACAGATATATTTATATATAAATATCTATATATTTAAATTAAATAAAATTTCTAAGATTTTAACTATTCTGAGCTATTATCTTATTCTTAATACGAAAAAAGGATAAGCATTTAAATAAATAGACTAACCTATTGTAATTAAAATGCTTATTGTACAAATTTTATAGTTATAACAATGGGGATAAAAATTTTTAAAAAGTAAGTAATTAAGTTTTCTATCTGCGTATTCAATAGTCTAATTTGTCGCTTCAGAATTATTGAAGTATTATTTAGAGTATAATGAATATTTTTAATACAAAAAAAAAAAAAAAAAAGGAAAACAAAGGAATAATAAATGAATATTATTTATGAAATATTTAAAATAACAATTATTTAAATAATATATCTTATTTGACTAAATATTATTTTAAAATAATTATACATTAGTTTATTTGAACAAATAAAATTATTTTTCTTCGAATTACTACGTTAATTGATTTTTAATTAAAATTATATTTGATTAAATATTTTTTGAAATAATTTCTTAAATAATTTTCGATTCTATCAATTATCAACTGCGTCAGAAATAAAGATTTCACGCACTGTTTCACGCATACAATTAAAAGAAAAATTAAAAGAAGTTGTGAAATTGTTTCAATAAATGAAGTAAGATAAAAAATTATTAGAAAGTTTTGATTTATTTGAAAAAAACAAAAATTACTTTTTATTTTACTAAAATAAAAATAATAGAGAAAATAAAATAATAATAACTGTTTTTTATTCTTATTTCAAATAAAATTTATTCAAACTTAGAAAAAAAATAATTAAATGTTAAATTCTATTATAAGAAA